GTCAACTTTGAAAACAAAAAAAAATCGTTCAGGTAACTTCAGTTCATTTAGCAAGCAGTATAGCTTCAGTAAAACTTTTGAAAAAAGAATTCACACCTAAACTTAAGTTTCAGCGAGCTGAAAAATCTGACCAACAAACCAGTCATTCAGTGATTAATGTGATTATGTTCTCAGACAGTGTAGATATAACATCACAAAGAATTAATAATTCTTCAAATTTGCAAAATACGAGAAAAACCTACTCAAAGTATATTCTAAAAACTGAATATACTGTGTCAACAAGAAAAGAACTCATTAATCACTGGAGGCCTTGATCCTGCTTTCCGAATTCTTAACAAAATAGAAATAAGAGAATTGACAAACAAATCAGGTGAACTTATGATCACTAATCAGACAGTATGAGTACGCCGAAAACTAAGTAAAACTTGAAAGCGAGTAGTTCGATACTAATCAAGCACTATATATACATCAAAAACAACTATCAAAATAGTTAAGTCAATCGAGAAGAAACTTCAAAGTAAACAGACAGTAAGAACTCAGTATGATTTCATCATGACTAAAAAAATTCGAAGACCTAAAATTTAAAACAAAACTTTCAAAAGCCAATAACTAAGTAGAAAATGAAAGCGAGTACTTTGATACTAGTCTCGAGCACAATATATAAATCTAAAACAATTATTATTTATTAAATCAATCGAAAAGCAATATCTCAGAAGTAAACAGGCAGTAAGAACCCAGCATTATTTTCATGAGAACTCAAACTAAACTTCAGATGAACAAATAAACGGAAATTGAAAGAACAAGAAAAATCTATCCTTGAATAGATTGATCATGCTTTCAGACAATGTAAATATAACATCAGAAACGACAATTAACTCTGAATACAAACAATTTTGCTCACGGAAGTTTTGGTGATTTATCGAACAGTACATTTTCAGCATTAATTTTGACAAAAACAACTTCAACTCTAGCTTGAAAACTAAATAGTTTAGAGAAAACAGGAACAAAAAACCATTAATCAGAAAACAGATTGATGATGCTCTCAGGCAGTATAGACTTAACATCACGAAGCAACGTCAACTTTGAAAACAAAAAAAAACTCGTTCAGGGAACTTCAGTTCATTTAGCAAGCAGTATAGCTTCAGTAAAACTTTTGAAAAAAGAATTCACACCTAAACTTAAGTTTCAGCGAGCTGGAAAATCTGACCAACAAACCAGTCATTCAGTGATTAATGTGATTATGTTCTCAGACAGTGTAGATATAACATCACGAAGGACCAATAATTCTTAAAATCTGCAAAATTAATCACTGGAGGCTTTGATCCTACTCTCCGACTTACCAAGTAAATAGAACTAATAGAACATCAGGAACGACAATCAACTCTGAATACAAACATTATTGTTCACGGAAGTTTTCGTGATTTATCAAACAGTATAGCTTTGACCAAAACGACTTCAACTTTAATTTGAAAACTTAATAGTCTAGACAAAACAGAAACAAAACACCGTTATATTAGAAAACAGTTTGATGATGCTCTCAGGCAGTAAAGATTTAACATCACGGAAGAACATCAAAACTTCGACAAAACCTATCCAAAACAAACTCTGAAAACTGAAAATACTGTGTGAACGAGAAAAAAAAACAATTAATCACTGGACACTTTGTTCCTGCTCTCCGACTTAAAAACTGAATAGAACAAAAAGAATTCACAAACAAATCAGGAGAGCTTATGACCGCTAATCAGACAATATAATTTCAGCATCACTATGAAAAATTCAAAAAAGACCTAAAAACTTTAAGTTAAACTTCCAAAAGCCAATAATTATGTAGATCTTGAAAGCGAGTAGTTTGATACTGCTCTCAAGCATAGTAGACAAATCGAAAACAAGTATCAATTTTTTAAAATCAACCGAGAAGAACTTTCCTATAAGTAAACAGACAGTAAGAACTACGCCTTACTTTCAGGAGAATTCAAACTAAACTTCAAAAGAACAAAAAAAAATTGTGAGATTTAAAACAAAAACAGAAAAATCAATCGTTGAATAGATTGATCACGCTTTAACAAGAGGCAAATATAACATGACGAGGACAATCAACTCTGAAAACAAACAATTTTGTCCAAGGACTTTTGCTCATTTAGCACACAACATAGTTTCAGCATAAAATTTGACAAAAACAACTGCAACTCTAATTTGAAAACTAAATAATCAAGAGAAAACAGATATGTAAACAGACAGTAAAAAATACGCATTATTTTCATGAGAACTCAAACTAAACTTCAGAAGAATAAGAAAAAAATTGTGAGATTTAAAAAAAAACAAGAAGATTCAATCGTTGAATAGATTGATCACGCTTTAACAAGAGGCAAATATAACATGACGAGTACAATAAACTCTGAAAACAAAAAATTTTGTTCAGGGAACTTTTGCTCATTTAGCAAACAGTATAGTTTCAGCATAAAATTTGACAAAAAACAACTGCAACTCTAATTTGAGAACTAAATAATCAAGAGAAAACAGATATGTAAACAGACAGTAAGAAATACGCATTACTTTCATGAGAACTCAAACTAAACTCAGCATCACTAAGACAAAAACTCAGCATCACTTTCATGAGAACTCAAACAACACCTCAAAAAACCAGCCAATCAACAATAATTTTGATAATGCTCTCAGACAGTGTAGACATCACATCGCAAAAGAACATCGATTCTCGAAACAAATAAATTCATTCAGATAAGGTTTGGTCATTGAATATAATGGCTTCAGCTTTAAAATTCGCAAAAAAAGACTTCAAATACTATTTTAGAACCCAATGTTATGGAGGAACGAATATAACATCACGAAAAACTATCAATTATCAAAATCATCAGACCTTTTACTAAAATAGACTCTAATTCTTATCTTAAATCTAATCTTAAGTCTTGAAAGAACTGGGTAAACAGGAGAAAAAAATAAATCACTGAAGACTTGGATCGTGCTCTCAGACTTTGAAGGTTAATTGAAAAAAAAAACCTGTCAAAAATCGAAAACAAATCAAAGAAATCTTCGATCACTAATGAGGCAGTATAATTTCAGCATCATTTTGAAAAACCTCAAAAACTACCTAGAAAGTGAAAAAAAAATCATTGAAAAGCAAAAAAAATATGGTAAAATTGACGGCGAGTAGTTCGATTATGCTCTCAAACATGGTAGATAAAGCATCAAAAACCATTATCAATTCCTTAGAGTATGATTATTAACGTTCTTCAATCACTCGCTAAACAATGTGCATCATATCAACCTCTCATCAAAAAAGAGCTAATCAGGTGGCATGATCATGGTTAAAGTCAAAAAAGTTTCTCTCCTTTAGTTGAAAACGTCACATCAGTCAGAGACAACAAACCTTTCAATTAACGATAATATTGCAGATGTTATCAAGAATTGCATCTGTGTATACAATTCAATCTTTCCTTTCCATATACTATGTACTGTTTTCGGAAAAATTTCAGATATTGGCACAAGAAATCGGATGACGGCTAGATCTTCAGGACACAAACTTTTCGCAACTTGCGTTAAAACCAAACAGCAATGCAATCCAGCAGACAAAAAATGAAAACAAGAGGCCAAAACGCAAAAAATTGATGAACAACTTTGAGCTATGGAGTTTGGAAAATTTGAATTTCTACGCCCTTTCCCCCTCGGAAACAAGGCATTTTTTTCCACTTCAACAGACGCAAAATTAGGTCAATATGCCGATAAAACATCAGCTGAACTAAAAAAACACATTCAACTACAATGGAAAATGCGTAAAGCACAAAAAGTAAAAATGATGTGGCAACAAAAATGAAAAAACAAAAGTAGACAGACAATAAGACGATAAATTTTTTGAAGTGAACGATTTCAAATCTAAAAAACAGACCAAGGTCGGATCTCAACTGAGGCCTTTAGCCATCCCAGGCAGGCGTAGGCGTTACATTGCCTCAAATGTACAGGAACAGCTAAGAAAATATATTTATCAATCAAGCTGTCAATTGTTTCAAAATATTTTGCAATACAAAATATTGAAAAGAAGAAGTCTTCTTTGTCAAAAAAGAAAGCTGAAAAAATAACCTGAGAAAGTTCAAAACACTATCTAACAAAAATTTCATACCTTTGCCTCGGACAATGTTCATCAACGGCCTTAACAACCATTGAGAAACAATGACCGAGCGACAAAAAAGGCGACAAAATTTGGGTCAACACTCGTTAAGCCGAAAACGAAACTAGACAAAATGAAATAAAAAAATTAAAAAGTTTAATTTTTACGACCCATGCCTCCTGAAATTGATTAAAGCAATACATTCGCCATTGAAACTGCTCAACATACGCTGGCAAAGCCGCTATAACATACGCCGAACACGTTCAACCAAAACAAAATTAAATTTATTAAAAATTTGATTTGGTAAATTTACAAACTACAGAGCAACGTTCAATTTTAGTTAAAAAAATTGTTTGAAATCAATATAAAAAATCAGTCTTGAAAAAGAACCACCTGAAAAGCTTACCGGATAATTTAAATAGCGTTTGAAAAAGGTGGAAAATCATCCGACAGAAATTAGGACGAAAACCACAAATCCGAAAAGAATCGACATTTTTTCAATACTTATTTTTGAGAAACTTAATTATTATCCAAGATGAAGTTAAAAAAATTCATTTGAATTTTCAAGAAACTGAGCACGTCAGCCTTTAATTATGTCAGATCGTCGGCAGAAAGTGTAAGAAAGTTATTTATGGGAAAAAAAACTAGTTCCCGATTAAAGTCACTTGCTCTTGCAAATGAAACAATTAGCCAGATATGAATTGGAAAGAAACACATTCAGCCAAAATCAACATTAAGAATCGCTAACCACGCAACTGATATTATGACTTCAGAAAACATATTTGAACGTTGATTGTATGTTGTTACTCTTGATGACGTTACTGCTTGATACTGATTGATAGACCACTTTTCTGATAGCAAACAATTTATTGTGACTAACCTTTTTGATTTCCGATGTGTATAATTCATCCATTATCAAATCTAAAGATGAAGCATATGCAACGACATCTAAGGTATTTTTTCTTCGGAACGAAAATCACGGTATCTTAGTTGCATCACGCGTGTTTCACCATAACCGAATTAAAAAACTTGGGAGCTAAATTTAAAAGGGATCAGGTTTAAGACAATTAAATGATTATTAAAAGATCATCGATCACTAAAATACCGATGATCCTTAACCATTTGATAATCAGGAAAGATTAAAATTCATTAATCAAACTTTTTCAAGTTTTAAATTTGAGCCTTAATAAAATATAGAAAGGGTTTAGGGGTTTAAGGCATTAAGTCCAGCGCTGTAGTATGACACCTTTTTATGTGACATTCGACCAGAATGGCCAAAATGCAATCTCTGCAGAATTCGAATTTTTAGCAGCGAGCCTTCCGGATTGGTGGTTATTAAGAACTAAGAACGTTATTGGAACGATTGGCCAGACGGTGAGGGCTGGAATATTCTGGTATTTTTAAATTTCAAAAATTCGAATTATGACGTCATATTTCTGAGAAGCGTCAGAAACGGCCATTTTGGCTAAAACAAGAAAGAAAAACAGAACAACATTAGCTGCGCTAACAACAACTACGAAATAGAGATTGGAAAACGACAACGAGTTGCAGGAATAGCAGTAAACACTCCGAGTTGCAACTATTGTGCCGCTACAATAGTTGCAAGGCCGTTGCGAACAACGGTGAAGGGTGAAAGACGGCCTTCCGGATTAAGAGGAAATCAGGATTAACGAGCTTGATCCAGCGGATTCATCAATCCGGAAGGGTAAAGGAACTGAAACTTTTATCCTGTTACATAAACTTTTAGCTTCCTGTCATGTCCTGACTTGAATTTAATTAACATCTAGATTCATTTTGATAAGGATGAGAAGCTAGGAGTTGGGGGAAAGGGTTGATCCATCTTCGATGGAGATGATGATTTTATCTACTGAACAAAAACAATAGTAATATAATAAGTAGTAGCCCTGTTTTTAGGAGTGACCTCGTGGTCTGGGGATACTGAGACCCAGCCATGAGCTCACTATTTCTGCAGGTAATCTAGTTAATTTGAGTGTTTTGACCGAAGCCGAAAGCAGTAACGTTTTTGTCGACCCGATGTTAGAAAGACCACCGAAAAGTACTGGCTTGGTAGAGACGGTGAAAAGCATGCAAAGCTCTGTTTAGACGTTAGCCAGTCGTCTTAAGACTTAGTTTTGTCTTCCGTCGATATGTATCTTCCGGGCGAATGTTACATAGATGTTTTTATGGCGCTCCTGTGTGTTATTCTTTTTTAACATCATGACCGGCAGAACCGTTGACGAGCGCTCCGCGCCGAGCGGATGCTCACATTAACGCCCTTAATAGGCCTAAACCGCCGGGGCGGAAGGTTAGTTCGGAACGCGGAAGCCTTCCGGATTACCGTGAATAGCTTTTTAACTTAGTTAAGACCAAAAATTCACAAAAAGATATATATAAAACCAAACAAAAAGTAGTATAGTACCCAAGAAAAACAAAAAACATAAAAAATAACCGAAAAAACCAAAAACAGTAAAAAAAAAAAGTAAAAAATCAGTAGAAATCATCCCCCCAGACAAGATGTGATCCGACCCCCCCGTTTGTTGTTGATAGATATATTGTTGTTGCAAGCATTTATATCAGTCAGGATCGTTACGATCAGTTTGTAGCCCGTTTGTGAGGCTTGTACTGTAGGGTTATTTGAGCATTTAAGCACGTTAATGATAAATTGCGCTCAATCCGGAAGGGTCAGCTGATTTGTGCTCAATTCGGAGGGGTCTTGGGAAGACTGATCCGGCAAGCAGTACAAGGAGCAACAGGAAGGGGCTCAACGACAACAACAATCGACTGTTGGGTATCGTTAACAAGTTTTGTATCCCTTTTGGTACAAAAATTAAGATAGTAATCTGTGGGGGGCTCGACAGTGCTGCACTGTAGTGACCCTTCACCGAACTGCGAATATCCGAGTTAAGCACCTTAATTCGGATATTAAACAAACCCGGAGGGGTATAGTATTACTAATATTATTAATTATATAGCCTATATTAATAGTCTTATATCGTATTTCAGTCAAAAACAACGAAAACAGACCGGTTTTTAGGGTCAAAATAGCGATATTTTGATACCCCCACAAGTCGCAATTTTTGAAATATCGATATTTTTGAAACGGAAAAAAGCGCTAAGTTAGTGTGTTACGTCGTAACTGCACTACCATAATAGATAGAACCGGTTAAGTTTAGTTCGAAAGTGGTTGGAACTATTTTGGTACCGAAACCGAAATTTCGTGATTTTTGAGAAAACGAAACACTATAAATTTAGAAAATTTTTTGAAATTTTTGAGTTACGACAATAAAAATAGTTGTTCGGACAACGTCCACTAGTGAATCTACAAGTTTTAAAACCCGCTACCCGAAAACCTTCCGGGTTGCAGAGAAATCGAACTTAACGTGTTTGATTTGGTGGATTCATCAATCCGGAGGGGTACAGGTAGCACAGTTTTTCGCAAATTTCTTCTACAAAAGCGTTTTAGATCGGGTCTTTTGCATTGAACTAGAAGAGTATAGGCCTTTTGAGCTCAGATCAATAAATTTTAGGTCGAAAGGACCAGATTTGCGGAAAAAGTTAGGCGGAACCTATAAGAGAAAAAATTTTTTGAGTTTGGAAAAAAGACGTTTTGGTTAATAACTTTGGAACTACTGGGCATATCGAGTTGATCTTGATACCAATAGATCAGAAATTAGCTGAGCTTACTGATAGGGACAAAAGTTTTCCGGAAAAATAAGCGTGAAAATTTTTTGAGATTGTTTTTAGCAAATTCACCAATTAGGAAGGGTAGACCCTTCACGTTTTATAAATTTCTTTTAGAAAAGCCCTAATACCCCTCCCAAAAGGTAATAGCGGTTGAATAAAGTAACTTTAGGCTGTTCTAGACGAAAAGTGAAGGCTAAAGGCACATCAAAACCTTAATCGAGCCGAAGTTAGGCAAGCGACAGGACCCTTCACCGTTCGTGTGAATTGTCAAGGAAGAGGCTTAACTTCAATCCGGAAGGGTCTAGGAAAGTAGTACATACCCTTCCTAGTTAATTGAAAAAGCAAAGTTGCATCGGAGAACGTATCCGGAGGGGTATAGGTTGAAAGAAGGAAATCTCCGAAAAGCTAATTTTACGCAACCGGAGGGCTCCCAATCCGGAGGGGTCAAAAATTTTTTCAAGTTAGGAGGGGTCCGAATCCGGAGGGTTTTATAGTTGCTAATTCGGAGGGGTCCAAATAGTTGCTAATTCTGCCAGTCCGGAAGGGTCCTATTTGAGCCAATCCGGAGGGGTATTATTTTATTAACGGACTTAAGTAGACGGAAGAAAGATTAAGGTGAGAGGTATTAGGTTAATAGCACACAGGCTAGCTATCAGTGATTGCACTGGTAACTTGCCTTTCAATAAGAACCAGACCAAAACAAAACAGGTCCGAACTCGGATATTCGCGACACTAAGTCTAAATTAAAAAGAGCGTGATTCATTGGTGTGGATTGTAACATAATACGTTTTTGGGAAAAGTGACTGCCCTGAGGATTTTAGTAGGTCTAGCTCGGGCAGTCCGAAGGCAGATAGGTATTACAGTACTCGGTTGGTGCAATAGACGCCCACTTGAGAAAATTACTGCCTTCAAAGTTTTGTCTGTTTGATGCAGCACCGAGCAGGGAAAGCTTTTTCTTTAAAAGACAGGTTCGAATATTGTACTGCGACCGACTAAGAGTACATTACACATAAGTTTTTTCATAGAGGTATTCATATTCTGACATTACATATATATATTTTGTTTTTTGATTTTAAATCAACATAAACTCTGCTTGATTGGGTAGTGAGTACACTTTCTTTTAAATTGACTGATAACATCATATTGTGCTAGTTTTCAAATCTTACCACCGATAATCGGTTAGTGTGAATAAATTTTATACAAACTGTACTCTGATAACATACAGGGATTCGTGGTCACTATTTAATAGAATCTTGTGAAAATTATTGTATTGTGTCTTTATTATTGTTAATAAAACTATAAGGTCTCTAGCAATCGAGTGAAGTATAGGCATTAAAAAGTGACAAATAGAGAATGAGTCTAGACAAGTCAAGGATACCAAAACGAGGTAATAGCTCTAGGAAATTCATACCTGAAAAGCAAAGAAAAACGATGACCAATCCTTTTGTGGATTGGATCAAGTGATCCCGGTCCGACAAAGGGGAGACGGTTTCAGGCAGAATGGTTGAAACGAGAAGTCAGAAGACCTCAGAAGAGCGAAAAGAACTGTTAGAAGTGGAGGTCAACACAGACCATGCCATGAACGACAACCAGGAAGTACATGGACTGGAAGGGAGAGGCAGAAGGCTGGCGAGTGAATCTACTCCGGTAGAACAAGGCCATGATTTTGCCACTTCCACCGGGACATTGGATCGAGATGAGATGTCGGAACTGTCCGACATCTCAACTGAAGTAGCGGCGACGAGAAGATCTCCGACAGACAACACTATGATGGCAGGCGGAACTGGGAAACAAACAACGTCATCATCGTTCTCAGAAAGAATGAAGAACACCTTCGGAAACATCTTTCCATTCACCATGGGAGGAGGCACAGGGAACGAAGTTGAAACCTAGGAGGAAGAGGATGAAGAGGAGCAAGGGGACTTTGGATCTCAAGTCAGCCTCAATAGTTCAATCGAGGAGAATGAGGCATACGTCGGAAGAGAGACTGGAACCATGGACAAATTTGGTGTAGTGACAACGATAAGCAAAGAGGCAAACACACCGGGCCAGTCAAAAGACTTCGCGATTATGACGAGTTCAGAGCCACAAACTGGACAGAGTAGAACCAGAGGGCTAGGCAACGCGTTAGCAGATCCTGAAATAGATAATGGGAAGACGTCGAGACAGAGAGTCAAGGCCCGGATCTCGACCAGCACGAAGCTACCTGGGACCGACAGGGTTACACCGCCA